GCAGTACACTAGGCATCCACATATTACATAAAAAACAGGATGGTGAATGAAACAAACAGTCCCACACAGACTATTTCTACCAACCTGCCCTCATAGATAAGTGTAAACCCTACGACTAAATTTATACTCTTACCAGCACACTGAACAATAATGAATGGGATTCGGGAGGTAGATGTGCTAATATTTAATCTTAAACATAAACACAAACTGTCTACATGCAGAAAAACTGTGCCCAGGGGCCAGAACTGTAACTGGGGGAGAGTCATGAGACCATAGATGGATCCATTCTTCTTTATGTAGTAGGTGTCATCATTAGTTCCAAATGTTAATCACAAAATATCAATCATGTCATAAACAATCTTCAAGATAACGATAAGATATTTAGTGTGTGCTTTTAGCTAAGAACAGTATCATGTGAACAACACTGGAACAAACTTGGATCATCTTGGGTCTGATCAGCCCATATAACAGCAGCAAGCAGCTTAACAGTCACATGTGTTTCTAGACTAAGATAAGGACACAAGGTTAGACAGTAGGCAGCAGCTGTTTTAGTGGATAAGCGTTTGAAAATAAATATTAATTCATCTGAAAAGTTTGGCCATATTAGAAAAAAAACTATTTTTAGTTGAATTGCACTTAGTTTTTTTAAATATTTGATTCTGGAAATGATTGTTGTAGGCTTCTGTTCACAGTGTGACCTTTCCGATAACAAAACTCTGTAGCTCCAGCACTGTGTTAACATTTTGCTCGACTTTGTCATCCCTCTTGGAGCTTCCTCTCTCTCTCGGGTGTGACAGTCAGCTGTTTGTCAGAGGAGGTGCTGAGGTTCAGATAAACCCAACCTCCCGGTGTGCGCTGCCACACCACTGGAGTGCTTCTTAAAAATAGTTAGGAGCAGTCAGCCAGAGTGTTAACATCATTTTTCTGTGTGCGTGTGTTCTTTTAATGGAAGGTATGTTATCGTTGTTCCCATTAGCTAAGAGATAGCAGAGGTGTGATGCATCCAAAACACTCCAAAATGGATACACACCAATATGCAGTTCACACACAGCCACACATACAGACACAATTTAAAGAGGAGGAGAGGAGATGATGATAGGAAGTAAATGTTTGCCTGTACTCTTTCTGCGTTTCATCATTGAGTCTCTGAGAGTTTATTGGTTCATTTTACAGTTTTAAATAGGCCTGCATTCATTATACGGACCACTAATAACACCTATCTAGTTTTTATACCTTCTAAAATATTGACTATACAGGAATTCAATTTAAATTTTCTGCATCAGTGTCTTGATTTTTTTCATTTTAATTATTTTCTCTTCTTCATATGTCTACATATAATTTGACACTTTAGAGATATTCTTCTTTTTCTTAAATATATACATCTCCTTTTTCAAGCTAAGAAGAAATCCTTGTTTCTCTAGAGGCTAATGTGAGGTGATCACTTTTACTTGGTAAACTGTGATGACCTCACATTAGTCAACTTTCTGTGTGAGAAAATTTAGGAAAACTGCTTGTTGGGTGAGTAACGACAAAGCACCAAAAGTGGAAAAGAGTGTAATTATGCTTGAAGTTGTCTTTTTAGTTAAATTCTTTTAATTTTCTTTTAATTCCTTTATGAATAAGGTGACACAAACATGTATCACATCTCACAACTCCACAGCAAGTTTCTTACCACCACCATGTTTTTGGCCACATTTGCATGTATGTCATTTTGTCCCATGAACACAATAGCTAAAAAAGTTTTGAATTGATTCTGATAAAAGTTTATTGTGTAGAGTGGGGTCATGTTACTGTAATAATCCATTACAACTTGCCTTACATCCACTAAGGTCGTCACGGCCAGCTTGATGACTTATTGGTTGAAAATGGACAGAAAACCTTTTAGAAACTTAGGAACTATGATTCATCTTAGATTTAACCTCTGACCTCTCCTTCAAGGTCAATAAACTTACCTCAAGGTCAAAGGGATAGAGAACTATTTAAAATGAAAACAGGCTTTCAGACTGACGCAAACATGTTGGTATTGGATACTTTTTGTGTACATTACAGAAACAGGTTTCATCACGATTTAAATGCATAAAAATTTGAAGACATGTACAAAGTACTAATTTCTTTTGGAAAACAAAATAAACGTATACTATTTACTTAGCAAATCCATTTTCCTTACTATGTATCTATTGCTAAACATTTAAATTTGTCTAAACACATAAATAAAAAATAATAATAAACATTTATGCTCAAATGCATTTGTTTCACGTCTTAAACTTATTAAGTTACTTTTAAAAAGAACAAAGAAGGCAAAATGAATATACAGAAAATACAAAACTATTTGCATAAAAGCAAATAGTGTGCAGAGAGTGAGCTGCCATGGTGGAGGTTTGTGTTCTCAGAGTGCTTCTTAATCTGATTTATGATGACACGTAAATGAATTATTCATACTTTTAACTGATGCAAAACAGGTGTAGGTTATAAGTTAAGGTATACGTTGCATAAATAAATGAAAAAGAACACTAACATCATGCAATTCATCTAGTTTACCCAATGCACAGAAAATCTATAACAATACCAAAGTATCAATATGGTATGAAATCTCAGTCACATGTGCATGATTGTATTCTAGATTAGTTAAATATGGTCGCCTATTCAATAAACATGTGAGCAAAAACAAGGAAATAAACAAAAAATCAACAAGTTCAAAAAGTTTAACAAGAAAATTTTCTATTTATTATTTTAAAATTCTGCAGAACTTTAATCTCCTGAAGCTATTTGGAACAAAATAAAGAGGTTTTTTTATATCAAAGGGTGTGCATGCTCTGTGAAGCATTAAAAGTTGATCTTTGATAAAAAGATCATACGTTACAGGAAGTTTTTGGGGGATCTGTTGTTTTGTCCCATGGAGATTTTTTTTTTTTTAGGACAAATGGTCTGTATTTATATAGCGCTTTACTAGTCCCTAAAGACCCCAAAGCGCTTTACACATTCAGTCATCCACCCATTCACACACACATTCACATACTGGTGATGGCAGCTACATTGTAGCCACAGCCACCCTGGGGCTCACTGACAGAGGCAAGGCTGCCGGACACTGGCGCCACCAGGCCCTCTGACCACCACCAGTAGGCAACGGGTGAAGTGTCTCGCCCAAGGACACAACGACCGAGACTGTCCGAGCCGGGGCTCGAACCAGCAACCTTCCGATTACAAGGCGAACTCCCAACTCTTGAGCCACGATCGCCCCAAGTAAACCCAGAAGTAAATGATCACTCTGCTTCATGTGACAAAAAGCCAGCAACTAGGTTTTTGGATTCCAGCTGAAAATGTGTCAGAAGTTATTCCAACTTTTAGAATTTTTGAAGTGTAAATGCAATAAGGAAATAAAATATTCAATCGTTTAAGAATCAAAACGCTAGCAGTAGCCTTTAAGCAAACTACACTACAGTTATATTACATATAATAACTTCCTCAGTTTCCTGTTCTTAGCTGACAGGCGTGGCCACGCACCCATTGTGGTCTGTAGCCCAAGGTTCAAAATTTGATGTGTTGTGCTTTCAGAGATGTTCTTCTGCATACCTTGGTTGTAACAAGTGATTACTAGAGGTACTGTTGCCTTCCTATCGGTTCAAACAAGTCTGACTATTCTCCTACGACCTCTAGAATCAACAAGAAATTGTAACCCAGATAGCTGCTGCTTTCCTCTTTTTCTAACCATTCTCTGCAGACTGTAGAAATAGTTATCCCAGGTCATCAGACCACCCTGGCATCACAAGCATTCTACATTGAAAGTTATTTAAATGACCTTTTTCCCTCACTCTGATGATCTGTTTGAACAGAGGATCATCTGGACCATGTTCGCACGAGTGGCTGTGTAGGTATTTGCATCAACAAGCAGCTAAACAGGTGTACCTAATGAAGTGAGCAGTGAGCAGAGTTGCATGTTCGAACAATATCTGGTAATTTTAAAGCGAGAGACCTTATTTTATCTACCCACTCCATTCAAGAAAATCCCCTAACTGTGAAACTACATAATTAGTGGAGGAATCATGTGTTTGCATATCACAGACCGAATTTAAGAAAACGTCGATGAATTCACTGAAATGAAGCCGAATGTCATCACTTAATTTTTTAATGGCAGTTCAGCTGGTTCAAAACAAGAAAATTACCTTGAAAATTTCTGACATTTGGTGTAACGTTTATATCCTCTGGCTGTGCAGTGTTGTTCGCCACATTGTTTTAAGTGTCACATGGTATAACCACTGCTTTAGATATACTGAGGAAAAGACACGCTGATAAGAGCCTGGAGGAAGCCATGGTGCTTTTTATTCTATCACAAGTTCTCTGAAAAGAAGACACAGCTGCTAGAAAGTGTTTTCATGCTGATTAAAAAAAACCCAAGTGAAATTCTGTCCAACATTCTAACCCTTCAGTCATTCTGGGGTCATGAACTGAAGTCACATGTTGCATCTTAGCCTACTTTTTATTTTGAGCAAAGATGTTCACTTTTACTTTTTGATTATATTTGGCAAATTTCAGTTTCCATTAAAAACAAATAAGTAAATGAAATGAATGTAATTCACTGAAATCACAAAAACGAAAGACTTAAGAAACTGAAACCAGCTTGTGTTTATCTTCGGAAGAGTCTCAGTGCAGGAACTTAACCAGCGGTTTTCCAAAGAGATTCCATAATAAATCCTGTGGAATTATACTTTAAGCTTAAGTCACTTACCAGAGCTTAAGAGAAGCAGAGAGATATATGTCAAGAGAGTGACATGAAGGAATGCAGGACTGGGTCTTTTAGCTATTGTGTCTTAATACAATATGTGACTTCCTTCAGTGCCAAACACTACAAACAAACACATGCACCTATATTTGAGAGTTGAATAGCAGGCAGCGAGGCACCAGGCCCACTTCCTCTGGAGATGTAGAAGGAGGAGAGGGAGCGAGAGGGGGAGAGAGTGAGAGAGAGAGAGGGAGAGAGAGAGGGGGGTATAAACTACAGCTTCACACACATTTCATTTCAGTTCAGATCTCTCTGGACACAAATTGCTCCAAACTGCTGGATTGACTCCTTTTTCAATCCCCTGAATCAACTTGACCTTCTCCGTCGATCCGTCTTTGTGTCAGTCTCAACCTGTCTGTCCTGAAGTTTGTCGGGTTCATCAAATTCACGCTGACATTCAGTGACTGAGGCTGAGCAGGAACGCTCACACTCACAGCTGGAGAGTGGCCGTCATTCATCACAGATCATCTGAATACGTGCATCTGTCAGCTGTTAAATCTGCTGCTCCTACATCCTGAGGATCAACTCTGAAGAGGAGGAGTGCCTGGCTTACTAGCACCTCACCAACAAGAAGAAAGCATCCATCAGTTTAACTTCAGTCTACAATCATCAGGCTATCACTGGATTAGAAGTTTCCTTTCTCTGTATCCTAAATCAGGTAAAGTATCTGTATGTGGCAGAGTTTTAGTGCAACATGTTTACAGTATGGCTAATGTCTTCATTTTAAGATTAAGATGTTAAATATTTAATTAATATCAAAAGTGTAAGCATCTTTTTCTGTTTTTATGCATTCCAGTGTTAATAATGACCACATCAGTGCTAAAAATGACCACAAAACAGCATTTTCAGACCCCAAAACCTTAAATAAGATCACAAAGAAGTGCCACAAATAAAAGTTGTGTGTGTGTGTGTGTGTGTGTGTGTGTGTGTGTGTGTGTGTGTGTGTGTGTGTGTGTGTGTGTATGCCAGTGTGCATAAAGATAGAGAAATCTTTGAGTAAATTCTAAAATAATTAACAAATTAAACTTCTTTTGTTACTTGAGTTTGGAATTTAGTTTGTCTCTAAATGAACGCCCATGATGTTGATGGATGTGGCAGAATTTTATCACGTTGACCTGTTAATACTTTCTATTCAGCTTATTATCGCATTGAAAACATCCTCATGTCTGACCGATGTCAATGATTCATCATTTATTATTGTAAACCAGCTCGAGAAAGAGGGGGCCTTTGTATTTGTGTGTTTGTGTGTGTGTGTCTGTGTGCCCATTATCAAGACAGGATGCAGAACAATACTGACTCCACATATACACACCCAGTCTCTCTCTCTCTCACACACACAAAGAGAAACACACATGCATGCAAAGGTCAAGAGAAAGTCTATACAAGGAAGTAATATTGTTATTAATGATGCTGGGATCACTTGTGAAAGATATGAATGGGAGCACACAGACACACAACACAGACACACACACACATGGTTTGTTCGAAGCTTCTGGGCTTTACAAAAACAGGAAGGGATGGGCATTTAATAAATAAGTTGCCAAAAAAGTTGTAATCTGATTTTAAACTTTTTTTTCTGGTCAGATTTTTAAGTTCATCTTCGTTTCTCATCTGAAATTAGTGCTTCTTGCATAACAACACGTCTGAAATAGACTTTTAATACAAGTTTAATATGAGTTCCAAGTTAGGGACAAAAACAGTCACATTTGCCCACTGGTTCGAGAAATGACATCAATCAAATGACAGAAGGGTGAGAAATTTGGCATGTAAAGCAGTCCCACTCCACCCAGAAATGCTCTTTATTGTTCCCCCTGTTTTGGAAGTCTGTACAGAGTCTGGTACTCATCAGAATCACATTTTGTGTAACATCAGAATCCATAATCCAAATACCTAGGTATGTCGTCATCAGTTACCTTGTCTGTGTTTCCTTTTTATTATCTTGTCATGTATGTATCTACACATACATGTATTTAAATAACAAAGATAAATGCAAAATCTCCTCAAACTTTAAAAATTGTGACACAAAATCTCATCCCAGGCAGTCAAATACTGCCACGTGTAATGCAAAAATAATTTAACAAATAATGAAATGAATTACTTTCTCAAGTAACTAAGTAATGTACTCTATGTTACATGTTACTTTTAAGAAAAGTAAAAAGTAATGTGAAATGTTTAACTTTTTTTAAACCCCAACACACCCAGTTGAGTCCCAAGTGGGATAAACGTAGGTTTGCTCTGCGCCCACACAGCCCCACAGTTCACCCACACCTGCCCACTGTGGGGTCAAACAGGCATGTTTGCTAGCACATTCTTTATGATAAGGAATCACCATGAAGGAATAAATGACTCTTGAGGAGAAGATTAAATGAGGCTGAGAGAAGGTCACTGATTCAAAACCTCAGTAAAATAGAAGTTAAACTGGTTCTTATTGATATACTGCAAAATAACTCAAGAAGTGAAAGATATCAGGTCATATTCCAAGAATTTGAGAGTTTTGGTTTTTGTCTTTAAGGGTAAGTGCCTCTATTACGTAGAGACTTGAGTATTTAACAAGCAAAAGATTCTTGGTTCAAGCACAAGCGACATAAGACCTGATGGTTGTGTCAGGCCAGGTGCCTGGTGTGAAAATCTCCAGCATTGTGCATTGATGCACATTGTAAACGAGGGAGTGCTTAAAGGAAGCACAGATTTTAATCAACATTCCATACCAGCTGGTGACAGTAATGCAACATGGGGCATATGTGGGTCCTACACTCTTGATCCTGGTACTGGTATGGAATGTGTGTACTTCTGGGCTCCATACCATTCGGTCCAGATGCCTAGTCCCCTACACGCATTGGCATGGTACTGGGGCCCATAATGGACTGCCCACACTGGCCCCAAGGGGGCATGTTTGCTGGGAAGGAAGATTTGTATTCATACTGGTACAGACTCAACCAAACATAGGAACAGACTGGATGTGTGTGTGTGTGTGTGTGTGTGTGTGTGTGTGTGTGTGTGTGTGTGTGTGTGTGTGTGTGTGGTAGCAGTGTTTACAGTAGATCTCTAGTTTTCCTTCCCCAGTGACAGGCGGAGGGGGAGTGTGGGAACAGAGAGGAAGCTAAACTAAACCATGGGCACAGACATTTTTATTAATGGGGTCGTGGCCGGGCTGGAGAGAGGCTCACACATACACACACGAACACACACACACACACACACGCACACACACCTACACACACACACACACAGCAACAGCCAGTCTATTCCTCAATGGTTTATCCACTCATCAACTAAGGTTTTTTGAGCAAGAGCATGGAAAAAAGATAATAATTGCACCAAATTTGGAATTTTAGAAGGTGCACTAATACTCCATGAATAGAAAACAAGGAGAAGCACACACAGTGAGATATTTTAAGTAACACAGTTTGCCCAATCCCCAAATGAAAGAAAATAATACCAGAAGAATAACCCCATCTTTTTCTCCCCAGCCAACCATAAAACATTGTGCATTAAAGGCAGCATGCATACAGCATAATCACTGTAGCTGGAGAATATTTCTAAATGTTTTGTGGTTAATCACGAATTCATGAGAAGTGCAAATGAATATCATACAAAGATATAAAACATTTTTTTAAAGATTGCCCCAAGTTATTCTCAAGATATGTGTTTAAATCAGCCCACCTGACCATAACATACATGACAAAATCTTCCACTGAAATATTTCAAGTCTTTTAGCTCTCCAGATTAAAACACTACAAAGTGATATTCTATTCTCAGTATTTCTCCTGGATGAATTATTTAAGTTGAAATATTTTGAAAAATATTTTAAATCCGCTTTATATACAGAACAAGGAAATGTATATATATATTGAATATAAGACTGTTATACTATAATTTTAGTCATTACATGGCATTCAGTTATGCGTTTCACATTTCTTCACATTCATAGCCCTAAAATCTATTTATAAACAAGATGAAATGTTTTTTTAAGGGAAGATTAAAAAATTGCGCCAAACAAATGTTAACAGTTGATGTTAATTTAATAGATTTTCATGCTTTTTTCTAAGATAAAGACATTTTCTCACTTGTACATTCCCTGCTTTTGTTGAAAAGCATTCTCATGAAGTAATAAAAAAGAAGCTACATCTCCATAAATGTAGGAAGTCCTAAAATCTATTGAAAACATAAAATTCTGTCTGATTCAGGGAGGATTATTCTTGGTACCTCATAGATTTTTTATTAAACTTTGTTATAAAATTAGTTTGTAAGATGTGCCTGAATGCATCATGTGACCCACCTGTTACTCATGCAAACCTTCCCATGCTCTTTGTTGGTGTGTTCAGGTGGATATTGCCCAGCTCACAGTTTAGCAGTGAGTAAGGAATTTGAGTTGTAATCAGTCATGGCAGACTGGAGCCTACTGGGAAACTTCCTGGAGGAAGTACAGGAGCACTCTACCTCTGTTGGCAAGGTAACATGCAAACACAGACACGTATATGTACACACACATTGCATACTAACACACAAGACTGGTCCGACATCCTCTGTTCATGACAGACAAACATAGAACATTCATGTATTTCTAAATCATCCTGTTTATTTTGTGTATCCCGACGCGTGGTTTGTGGTTTCAGAGTCTTGTAACACTACAATGAAATATCATACAAACATCTGTTAGTTTAACCATTCGAAACTCAACTCAACAAGTCTTAAAAGAAACCAAAAACAAATAACTTCACTTTCAGAGATTTTATGGAATTAATGTTACTTACAACTGTAACGATAGTAACCTCTGGTTTTCAGTGCATGTCCATTGTTGTAAAATGTGTGCATGTACTGTGTGCGTCCTCTTTCTTCTGAGAAGCTAAGTAGTAGTAGTCCTCAAAGTAAGTTGTTTACAGAACTGTTGGCAAAGCTTAGGAATCCAGGAGCACAATTTATAAACCAAGATAACAAATTTAGACATGGCACAAGGTCAAGAGGACTGGAATTCACGTTCTTTGTGGGACTGTTTCTTTTAAATCTTTGTTTCACTCGCTTGGTTAGGTTTAGGAAATGATGACGCTCTTGGTTTTAAACCCCCCCCCAATAAACATTACATATCATTGAACTTGTGAGAAGGATCAGTTTTCTAGTTTAGATTCTTTCTTAAATAACTAATTGTAATGGTCAATTCAATCAGTCAGCACTTTGTGTACTTTTTCTAAGGCATTTTTAAATCTGTTTAGAAGTACTACAAAGATAACCAGCTCCTAAAGTATGTAATAACTTTAGTTCAGGGTGGCCATGAAGTCAGTACTGGCAGACCAGCTATTCTCACTGCCAGCCAGCTGATGGCTCAGTTAGAAGTTGTCAAGGCATCCAACTGGCAAACCTCATACAGGGAAAACTATTTAAATGGCACTTTACAATCCAGCTAAACTCCGAGTCCTCCTTTCATGGTGCACCCGACCTAATCACTGACCTATTGTTCTCACTGCTCTGTGCAGGGTCTTGCTATTGCTCTCCCTGCTTGTCCATGGATGGAGGTGGAGTTTCCATAACATAAATATACTACCAAACACAAATAACTGCAGATGAAAATAACAATTTTCATTCATTATAGTGGCCCTCCCCTCTGGGCTGGAGTAACCTTTAAGAGCTGTTTATACCTTTATTGTTTTAAAAAGGGTAAAAATGGGAATGTCCACAGTCTAGACTTTGATTAAAGGATATTTTAATTGAAGCAATTCAGCAGAAACAAATAATTATAGTAACACTTAAATTACACTTGTCCAATTAACCTACTCTGAGCTAATGCTGATTTTGTTCTAATCTTTGGAAGAAGAAGAAGACTGGAGGTCATAATTGCTTCATGTTTTTTCTCCACAGGTGTGGCTGACCATCCTGTTTATCTTCCGAATCCTTGTTCTCGGGACAGCAGCTGAGTCATCGTGGGGAGATGAACAGGAAGATTTTAACTGTGACACTGAACAGCCAGGCTGTGAGAACGTCTGTTATGACCGAGCCTTCCCCATAGCACACATACGATACTGGGTAATGCATTGGCAGTCAAAGATTATCTTTTTGTTTTAACCAACTGAAATCAAAGATCATAAAGAAGTCAGCCAATCCATCTTAAAGCTTGACATTTTATTAGAAATATATTAGAGTTACTCTATCACATCAACCAAAAGAACTTCTTTATACCTGTTGATGATTTTTAAACATTTTCTAAAACTGTAAATACAATATGAACTCTAATTAGTCAGTTGGAATGTATCTGTGTCTGTACATCCCTGTTCATTCATCAAACATTTCAGGCATCATACCATAAGTCTTTATGGTATGATGCATACCATAAAGACTTGAATGGTATGAAAGGTTAAGTTTCCAATTACAACGTAGGTTATAACATAGTCGTTGCAGTCGTTGAAGAAAAAGATTTAATTTTAAATCTATCACGTGTTAAGATTGGTTTGCCACCTTCCTTACAGCTATTTACTTCCATTTATTTCAGTGTAGTGTGAAAAATAAATTGCAGTCACTTGATGTCCTCAAGGGATTAATTATGGTGAAATGTTTCCATTTCATACAGGCTATTCAATGAGATTATCTATGCTTGCAGCCGAGAGCAAGGGCTGCTTCAAAAATGCCTCCCTGCAAATGAATCCTCCCCCCCCCCCCACCCCCCCCCACCCCACACACACACACAACAACAGTTCAGATCAAACAATAAAACTCTTATCAAAATCTCAGAACCAAAAAAAACGGAAACTCATTTCCCAAGAAATGTGGCAACACTTTGGGTTGATGCATACCATAAAGACTTGAATGGTATGAAAGGTTGAGTTTCCAATTACAACGTAGGTTATAACAGATTTCCAGGTCTATCAAGCTTAAATCTTTGCATTCTACTGTATTAGTCTGACCTAAATTTAACAGCTTCCTAGAAAATGAATAATCTTCAATGGTGGAAGTTAAACTCTTGCAGATATCAGATTAGTGAGTTAATCTTTTAATTTTGCGTCACTATCCTTTGTGTAAACCTAAAAAAATAAATGTTCAAGTAATATGTTCAAGCAGGCTGCAAAGCCTGCAGTGGCAGCTGCCCCAGTTTGTCCCCCTGAGTACAGACTAATACTCAGGACTGAGCCATAGCTTCAGTTCAAAAGCCCTATTTAAAAAGGAGAGCGCCACCTGTTGCTGTTCAAGCACTCAACTGCTAGTTGAGTCATTCTGTCAAAGACTGCAGGAAAATAGGATCCAAATGCATTCTCCAAATGAGACGGGTTTGAAGTGAGCAAAACCTTTATTGTGGCCGATAATAAAACAGATCATAATATAACAAAGTCCAGAAACACAGCAGACAACAGAAGGGAACACACTAGAAACTATATAGACATGGGGGACGTGGAAAATGGGTAAAAAGAGACAGCTGAAATGAATCAGGAGGACTTGACACAAGGAAGTAAAATTAAAAGCAAGGAACAAGCAAGAACAGATTATCAGATAAAAGAAGATTTAAGGGGAAGAAAGAGAGAAACAAAGAACTAAGACACTAAGAAACATGGCAATCAATTATAACGGAGAACAAATTACAACATCAATTATGATTCTAAAGTTCATGAAAACACATAACTGGGCTAATGGGCCAGAACAATGACACATCTCTTGCTTTTCATACTTTCAATCACTGATGCCTGATCTGCTCTGGATGAGAGTTTCGTTGTTTCTCTCCCCACCTAAATTGTTTAAAGTATAAAGTCCTGGGAGTCCATACTGAGAAATATCTCACACTGCTGCAGATGAAAATAACAACTTTTGTTTTACCTTTGATTATAAATCTTATTCATGTCCTTCCAGCTGCTCCAAATTGTATTTGTATCCACTCCCAGTCTGATCTACATGGGCCACACTATGCACACTGTCCTCAGAGAGGAGAAAAGAAGGAACAGGGAGGAGGAGGGAAGAGAGGAGGGAGGGGGAGAAGAAGACCTAGGAGGAGGTGAAGGAGGAGGTGGAGTTGGAGAGAAACAAGAGAGGAAAGGGGAACGAGATGGAAATGAAAAAAATGAAAGTCACTCAGCAGGTCGAATTCGCCTGAGGGGAGCACTGCTGCAGACATATGTTCTGAGTATACTGATACGCAGCATCATGGAGGTAAATGTCACCATTTCTGCCTTTAACTTAAACATAACTTGATAGCAGGTCAAGATTTCAAATCTGTCTAGTTCAAGCTCATGTCTGTCCTCCAAAGGCTGTAGGTGGGTCTGAAATGAGAAGAGAAGTAAATTAATGAAAAATTGCATTGCAGAGTTTGGACCAAATTGCTCATGAAAGTTTAGGATTTGTAAACATTAAAGGACTCGTATTTGTATTGTGCCTAAAACTGTAAAAAACAACAACAAAAAAACCTGTCCTTCCATCCAGGTGGTGTTTCTGTCTCTTCAATAATTCCTGTATGGAATCTTTCTCAATCCTCTGTACGTCTGCAAGGTAAAAATCAGACATTATTTTGATTTCACTCTTTGCTGTTAACCACAATATTTAAGCCTACAACAGTAATTCTCTTGTTCCTTTGCTCTTTTAGGCATGGCCATGTCCACATCCAGTTAACTGCTATGTCTCCAGACCTACAGTAAAAAATGTCTTTATAGTGTTCATGTTGGTCGTGTCAGCTGTCTCTCTGGTCCTCAGTGTGCTTGAACTACATCACCTGGCATGGAAACATTGTTGCAGGTCAGAAATTCATTGTATAGTTTTTTAGTTAGAAAAGGTTTTTACATGACGACATAGACGAACGAATTCAGAATATTCTTTTGAACTATGATGATAATTGATGATTATTTTTTAGGTAATTAATGATTTTATTTAATGATTGTTATGTTTATTTCCTATTTAACTCATTCACTGCCATTGACGTCTATAGCCGTCAATTGCAGTGAATGAGTCAATGGGTTTAACTCATTCACTGCCAATGGCTGGCAGTGAATGAGTTAAGAAGCTTAAAGTTGATAAAGTTACTAAGACCTATTTGAGCATTTAGTCATTAACAAAGATGTAATTTGTTGCCAGTTTGCACAAACAAAAATAGTGGTAAATGATGTAGCAGTTTATTTCATATCAGGTGCAACTGTGTTAATCTATTGTTTTGTGACCCCCAAAGTGGCCAGAAAAAAGTGGAGTTTTAACTAGACAAAACTCCACTAACTCCACTAAAACTCCACTAAAAATGAAAAAATAAAGGTGGCTTTTTTTCTGAAGAGTAAGAGTAAATACTGCAATGTGGTAATAATATCCTAATATGGTACTAGACACAGATTTTTCTCCTGTATTCAGTCTAAACCTGATTAAAGAAAGAGATAAAGATAACCATTGTTGATGATTCAGATTTTTGGTCAACAGTGAGACATATTCATATGGATTTTAAAGTCTTGTAAAATTAAACAATCCAACTTTCTCATTAAATTTCATTTCCCTCAAGAGATTCGGTTCCAATAAGTATTTTAAGCCTTCAGTGATTCAGATTTACTTCCTGGAATTTACCATTAGAACAAATGGAATGAAGAAAACAGGGATTGGTTTCCACTTTGTGGTAGTGAATTCTTAAAGAAGTGTTCACAGCGGGCAGCACGGTATGTTGTGGTTGACAGCATAATTTTAAATCTTACATTTTCCCACTGGTTCACTCTGTTTATTGCAGGTGGTTCTTGTGCTCTGCAAAAGCCAACAAAGCAGCCAACACCTCTCTGAGCCGACAGCTCTCTTTGTCTCCTCCACCACCATCGACACCACCTCCAGATTTCAACCAGTGCGTGACTGGCTCCACACACTTCCTACCCCTCCCCTTCCCCAACCACCGACTAGCAAACCAACAAAACTCTGAAAACATGGCTACCGAGCAGAACAAAATGGCAGCCGCAGTGGAAGAGGTAAACTTCCTCCAAATGAGCTGCTATTCGCATGGATGGCAGAAGACCAATGACGGTCAGATCCAAGATGGGAGATACCTGAGACCCGATGCTAACTGCTATACCCCCGAGAGCAGGGACGTCGGCTGTGTTCAGATCCAAAATGGTGGCCCAGATGTGCTGCTGCATAAGGACAAGCGAAGATACAGCAAAGCCAGCGGAACGAGCAGCCGAACTAGAGCAGATGACCTCGCAGTTTAGAAAAAAAATTAAAAAATAGATAATAGATTTACAAACCTGCTGAAAAAACCCACACATGCCTAAAAGACAATCTAAAGCTGAATAAGTCCGTCCACCTTAGCTTTCATGACATGATTCATTTTATCTAAGGAATCGTACAGATGATGACTAATTCCTTTTATCTTCTTCCTTCCAACATTATACGGCTCCTAATGACTTAAACGATGGTCTTTACCCAACATCTGAGTAATCGCCCTGCACTAGGGATTGAACAACTGGGCAGCAATGTCTGGAGTTGTGGTGCTACACAGATTGCTAAATCCATCAAGAATAACTGGATTGTGGCTTCTTCTTGAACTGAAACAAACATGCACCTGAAGCTTGCACTGTTTATATGCTGAGACTTAAGTCACCAAAAAGGCCATAAAAGGTGAAAAAAAAAACAAAGTTTGGGTGACACCATTGAGGGAGTCTGCACTGTATAGCATAGATGTCTTATTCTTTTCTTTATTTACTGGTGTGACTCAGTTGGGCACAAATTAATTCATGACTTTAGTCACAAGAATGCTGACAAAGCCTTTTTTGAGAACAGCAGTAGTGACTGTATCTGAAAACTTTTCAAAAACATGCTCTTTGTGATTTTTATCTCCTGACTAACAGCAGCTTGTGCAGGCTAGAAGAGATCTGGTCCAAGTCACAGCTGTCTTAATAGTACTAATGTGTTTCAGGACCTTAAAGGCCCAAATGGAAAAGCTAAAAAATGCACTAAAATCCTGACTGTGACGTATTTGTTATATTTCAAAGCCCAAAGAAAAAGGCATGAGGCACATTTATTTAAAGCTTTATTTTTAACATCATGTAAAGGCAAACACCTCTTAAATATATATTTTTCTGAGATTTTACTCCCAAAATTTGTCGCCTATCATTGACAATAAACTTAAGATAGAGATGAAGATTTCCTCCAATGCTAGTGCATTTACCTGCTTGCCAGGTATTTCACTTAAACCTATAACAAACTTACACTGTGTTTATTTCACTGTTACTTCTTCACATTTTTTTTTTGCAGAAATGTTTATTCTAGCTCACCTGCTCTATAATCAGTTGAATTTCGTTCTTACTAGGTGCCATTTGAATTAAATGAGACTTTAAAACAATACATTTACATTTCAGTATCACATAAATATTGCATGAGCAGTGTTTTTTATAGTTCTTGCTGGTTTGCAGTCCTTGAGTGTGCCCAGGAAATACAAAATTGAGCCTCATGTCTTTGGAAGTACCAGCACTGGACACACTGGGGACTTCTATGCTACCTGTAGACTGAGCCTAAACTCTGTGGCTTATTGGCTGGACTTATGACTGACTCATTTAACATTTTGCACTGGAAATTTACGATGTGATTTTGTGAAACCGCTTAAAAACATTTTGCTAAATTTTTTTCTTGTTTGAACTGCGCTCTGTTTTCAGCCACATTTGATACCGTGTAGATTATCTTTTCACACCAGCATGTCTTTTATCATTTCTTCTCAAAGATTTCTTGCATTTCCTAAAATATGACAGTCTGGATGATACTGATGGGTTTCTAGTACATTATATTATGGTCATTTTAGCTATGAACACACATAGAATGAAGCATGGGACTACTACTATGTCTAGCATAATGTATATGATGTGTTTTGTTTCAAATTGTTCGTAATGTCATTGGACACACACACAAAAAAGGTTGGGTATTAAGCAGTGACCAATGCTGTTAATGACAATTTAAATTTGTTTTATATTTATTATTACACTTGAATAATGTGAATGCTTTATACATTTTGAAAATAAATGCAACATATGCAAACCATTAGAGTTTGTGCTTGGAACCACAATAGCCAGAAACTGTTCGTGTTCATGCAGCAACTATGTGGACTAGTTCTGCAGGATATTATGTGGAAAGTTAAGACCTGTTTGCTACAAAGCATCATAGACTGTATATACAGGACACACATGATGCTTTCAGTCAGGAATGCAAATTGCAGCCTCAGAGTCTTTGAAGACTCAGAGTTGCTTGACATGTTGATTTTTTTTTTCTTAGAGCCATAGGCAGCCATATTTGGAGCTGGGAACATCCTGCATTCATAAACTGTACTGGTGCAACATGAAGACAGCAATATCTGCTGATTAGCGCTGAAATTAGAATTTCACTCACAGAATCTGAAGCACACACTTTTATCCCTCACAGCAGGCCATATTATTTGTCAGGTAATTCCATTGCATCTGCAAAAATGCTAACAAAAGCTACAATTAAAATATTAAGCCTTAAAAAAAATCAGTGTTGTGAGTTGTAAAAGAAATCCAAGAAAGAAGGAGTTCTATGTAGAACGGTGGCTGTAAATATGTTGTTTTTTTTTCCGTTAATGAAATTTGGTTATTTTAACATAGGCAATTTATTCATTTTTGAAGTCAGTCTCGAATAGACATTTAAGTAAATGGAGTTATTGGTACTTCCAGACCTCAAGGTCAATGTTTGTTCAATATCTCAAGCAACACATCACCACACATCTGTTGAGCTTCTGTAATAAAATTTAAATCAGCAGACAAGCAGAAAGAACAGAGTCATCTGAGCACCAAGGATTCCTGTGTTGTGTTGTTACTATGCAGGAAAAGTTAAATGTATAAATACACAAGTAAAGTATTTTAATAGTATCTAATAGTATACTTAGACTAGTCTATGTGTTTCTAACTGTAATTGCACTTAATACTGCTAAGTTCACACAAATTGATAATATGTGCACACAGTTTGCTTGGTAGAGAAATGACCAGTCATTATGACAGTGTAATCTATCTGCCATCATTATGGCACATGTTTTCACTTTGGGCCAGCAGACTTGATTTCTTCCCATGAAAGACAGAACAGTAACGATGGACAAAACAGGCATCAAGATACATGAGAAATGCTAGATAGTTTAAGGAAGGGGCACTTTTATACATTTGTCCTGATTCCCATGGCCAACTTCCAGCATGGACAGGAGCTGATTGGAAAATTTCCATTAAGGTCATTTAAGGTCCAGGAATGTTTGGGAACTGCAAAAAAGAAGAGCTTCATGTTTTCTTTTCCCCTCTCTTCTCTTGTCCCATCTGTGGCAGCCATGTTTAATCTGTGGTAAGTTGTTTAACTTCAAGATATCAAGGCTCAGCTTATTATCTAAATATTAGATAAATATATGTCCTTTTTAATAGTATACTACTACTACTTATAATAATAATAATAATAATAATAATAATAACAAAAAATAAAGACCAATTAAATAAAAAATATAACCACGCCACAGCTAGAAGTGAAAGTAGATGCTGTAAGCTGTTACTTATAACAAACTTGTAGCATTACAATGATGCAACATGCAGTCACAAAACCGCACAGGTGTGTAGTTGGGAAACTGCTGAAATCAAATCCAAGTTAAGTTATGAATACAGGTTCCTCTTTACAGTTAACTCACTGTGGTGTGATCCCATCACAAGAGGTTCTTGTGAGAGATGTAAAGCAATAAATGACCATTATGAACATCATCATTATATTGTATTTCAAAGGAATTGTTAAATAATGTTAGATGAGTAATTAATAAATCACAAGTCACTGGGAGGGTAAAAGTCTTGCTTCTGGGTTGTAGAAGCATATTGAAGGGCACTTAAGTCCCACTTAATAAGCATTGTGAGCTTCATTATATGAAATAGATTTTTTTTTAGCTGTTTTTGTTGTTTGTTTGCTTTTGTTATCTTTTGGTAGTAAAGTTTGCCAACCTTCTGCTCTGGGAGATAGTGGAGCTGGAAAACAGTGGAGAGACAGCATCCCCATCTGGTGAAACAGGGTAATTTATGAGAGATATTAAATGGTACTTTTTAACCATTGACATGATGGTTTAGTGAATTCCAGAATGTATCACACACTGTCAGTCTGGATATGGTTTAGGAGTCCAGACCATAGTGCCTAGTGGCTCATTAAGTTTTTGATAATAGAAAGTGGGACTAAACTTTAACTCCTTTAACTTTAACACCTCTCTGGGCACTGAGCAAAAGATAGACATTTATATTAAATAGCAAAAATAAAGTGAGTATAACGAGATAATGCCTGTGCCTCAAAAATTTAGCTTGCAGTTTGGTATTCCTTTGACATAAAAAGTGTGAAAACTAATGGCATTTCATCACATTTCAGTATTTTTGCAGTTCTAGTTATATGTTTAACGTGTTGAATACAAAAATAACTCAAACTAAATTCTGTCTTCATCTTTTTATTTGTCTTCATATACATAGAAGGAAGAAAATCAGAGTTGTCAAGAGTGTCAAATTTTAAAATGGATAGTTTGCTTTAAATGTTGTGTTTGTCCTGATCATCCTGGAGAAGTTTGTGGAAAAGGAATTTAGACATTCATACGTGGTAATTGTTGTTGCATAATAACGGTGAATCTACACAAAGATGTCTGCATCGCCCCTGCTGTTGGATGATCCTGCTGTTCTTTGATGGCCGATATTATGCTTGTGCAATGATTGATTGGTCAGGCAGGTATGTAACTGCTGAAGAGGCTGCTCAAGAAAAATGGTGTGAACCAGGTAACAGTACCTTATCAGAAGAGCTATCGGCAAAGTCCAGAAATCGTTCATAACATAAAATAATGTTTTTTTTTATAACTCATTAACTTTCTACAAAATGTGATTTATGTTGTTATACAACAGTGCTAATGACCAGCTTAACTAAATACATTTTTTTGTCCATTCTTTATTGCTAATCTGTGATTTAGTGGATTGGACTTATTCTTCACTATGTGTCACAGTCAGTGCCATTGTTACATTCTTCAAATTTGTAATCAGCAAAACGCAAAATAGAATAGAACAGAGAATAGAATAATCCTTTAATTGTCCCACAAGGGGAAATTTGGGTGTAACAGCAGCAAGAAAGACACATATACAAACAAACAGTACACAAGACACAGAACAGAAACATACACAATTTTTACATATTTACATCAAGGACAATGGTTACCAAAAACTGAGTACCATACTGTTATTAAATTAAATAAAATTAAATACAGATAAGGGGCAAACCCTGGTTATAGTGTGAATCGGTTGATAAAATAGTGCCAAGTTACAGCGCAGATGTAACCATCTGTTTGTTGGGAGCAGTTCTGATTGTACAGTTTGACAGCTGCAGGGAGGAAGGACCTGCGGAAACGCACCTTCATGCATCTAGGATGCAGCAGTCTGTCACTGAAGCAGCTCTGCAGTTCAGCAACATTTACGTGCATGGGGTGGGAGACTGTCCATCAGAGATGTTCTTTTGGCCAGAGTCCTTCTGTCTCCCACCACCTGCACTGGGTCCAGGGTGCATCCCAGAACAGAGGTGGCCTTCCTAATGAGTTTATCCAACCTCTTCCTCTCAGCTGCTGATAAACTGCTGCTCCAACATACAACA